TGGACATGAAGAATGTAAAGTCTCCATCTTTCTTTATGGCTGCATAATATTCCATAGTGTACATATACCACAGTTTGTTGATCCATTCGTGGATCGATGGGCACTTGGGCTTCTTCCATGACTTGGCAATTATGAATTGGCTGCAATAAACATTCTGATACAAATATCTTTGAATATAAATGTCTTAACACAATAAGTAAGAAAATGTGGTGAAGGCTATGTTAACCAGTTTGATGAAAATATTTCAAATGGTATGTAAAACCAGCACATTGTACCCCATGATTGCATTAATGTACACAGCTATGATTTAATAAAAAAAAAAAATTATCTGTGAAATAAACTCTTCCTTGATGTTTTGTGGTTATCTTGGAACTCTGCTATAAAATGGATAGAGCAAGTAGTTATTGATTAATCAGTAAGTATAGAGTACCTAAAGTTTGACCAGCTTATTGAAAGATAATCACAGTATGTCACTTGTTCTTGTTTTAGGAAAAAAAGCTCGAACTTTTGACTTGGAAGCGATGTTTGAACAAACTCGAAGAACAGCTGTGGAAAGAAGCCGTAAAACATTGGGTAAGTTCAGATATTTGTCCTTTTATTGGCTTAAATATTGTATTTATACAATGTATTGGTAATTATAAGACAGAAAATTACGAAATTATTAAAAGTCCCTATGCATTGATTTCTTTGGAAGCAGAACGTAAAGCTATTTTATTTTCCTATAAAACATGGTAAAAATTATGGCTCGGTGCCTGTGGCTCAAGTGGCTAAGGTGCCAGCCACTTACACCTGAGCTGGCAGGTTCGAATCCAGCCTGGGCCTGCCAAACAATGATGACTGTAACAAAAAATAGCCGGGCTTTGTGGCGGGTGCCTGTAGTCCCAGCTACTTGGGAGGCGGAGGCAGGAGAATCACTTGAGCCCAGGAGTTGGAAGGTGCTGTGAGCTATGATACGACGGCACTCTACCTAGAGCGACAGCTTGAGGCTCTGTCTCAAAAAAAAAAAAAAAAAAATAAATAAATAAATAGGATAAGAAGATCTAAATACTAAAACCTTTTTTAAAGTGTGTTTTGCTAAAGAGCAAGGATTCTCAATTAACTTATAGGAATAAGAAAAGCAATTTATTACCTCTCCTCTTGCCTCTGTTTGACTTTCATCTCATTTTTTTCTTTACTGCTTAATAGCGGAACCAGTATTTGGAAGGGTGGGCCAGAGGTGGCTCTCAGAGCTGTATACAACACTGACTGTTGACCCAGACAGTATAAAAAATTGAGACATATAGTGAATGTGGCTACTGCTGTTGAATCCCTGCTTTAATGAGTTGTGACAGACATTTAATTAAGGCCCCAATTTCCAGACTAACAGTTTGATACCAGTTGGTTGGCAATTCTAGGTACCACCTGAGGTTCTTCAGAAGAGCCTGAACTCTCCTGCTTCCTTTGGATCTGATTCAGATCATTCTAATACTACAGAAGGGGTAGATGTAACTTGATAGAGCAGAAGGGTATAGGAATCAGACAGATAGGACTCCTGGAAAAATTTAATTTGAATGAATGTTGTTATGGTATCTAACTCTTGTTGGGTTTTCTTTTTTTTTTTTTTTTTGCAGTTTCTGGCCAGGGCTGAGTTTGAACCCACCACTTCTGGCATATGGGGCCAGCGCCCTACTCCTTTGAGTCACAGGCGTGGCCCACTCTTGTTGATTTTAAAATCATAAAATTTAATATTTAATATTTGGGCAAGGAACTTGACACAAAATATTTTTGGTCTTCAGAAGAAAAACTTTTTTTTTGTATGGTGAAAAGTTACATATAGTATTTTTTATTTTTATTTTTATTTATTTATTTATTTTTTGAGAAAGGAGCCTCAAGCTGTCCCCCTGGGTAGCGTGCCATGGCATTTCAGCTCACAGCAACCTCCAACTCCTGGGCTCAAGCGAGTCTCCTGCCTCAGCCTCCCAAGCAGCTGGG